AACGAGCACCTTTGTACATATGATATGATTTCTTGAAACGCTTCTTGTCTTTCCTTTTCTTTTTTATGTATTTTTTTTTTTTTTTTAAGTAACTAACTCTTCTTCCTTTAGTTTTTTCAATAAATCACTCAGAAAAACTAGAGGATAGATAATTATACGCGAAGACAAATATTATATATTCTAGTCGCGAATTATTCAATAAATGGAAAAAGAAAGGTGGGTAAACAAACAAATAAACGTTACGTTAAATGTAATCGTTAAAATATCTTTTATAGCTTTATTTATTGTAAAAATTACGCGTTCAAGGGGAAAAGATTTGGCGTTGTAATCTTTCAAAATTCTTTCTTTTTTCTTTTTTTTGTTACATAGTACTCGGCTCGTATATTTTCGAAACGAGAACGGTCGACAGTTAAAACGAGTCGTCGTTGTTGGTAGATTCGAAGTTCGTACTCGTGTCTTTCCTTTCTGAAATCATCTCCTGGAGCGGGCGACCTTGAAACCAGCTGACAAACCAGAGAGAAAGAGAGAGAGAGAGAGAGAGAGAATAAGAGAGAAGAAACTGGTGTGCGAAAGAAGGATTGCGCAACGCTTCGAAATACCATAGCTTTCGATCTTTCCCTCTCTATCTTTCTTTCTATCCATATATCTATCCATCTTTCTATCTATCTATCTATCCGTCTCTCTTTCTCTTGTTGCTGCTTACAGTGGTCCTCCTCATACCAGATTCCTTTTTGTCCCTCTTCGGAACGAGTTGTGTAAATGGAAAAAAACAACTTTCCTCTTTCAGCCCTCCCTTTACCCCCTTCCCATCACCACCACCACACGATCGATGTATTCTATMTTTTTCTAACTTTTACATCTTACTTTTACTTCTACTTCTCCTTCTATTTCTTTTCTACGTCCTACTCGTTTTTCTTTTTTTTTTTGATTTTGTTCTTACGCTACTTCTTCTTCAACATCCCTCATTTGGTTGTCGCTATCTTACAATTCCTATTTTTCTATTTTATTTTTTTATTAGCTGCCCTTATTATTCTTGCCGCCATTTTCTTATACTTGTACTTGTTCAATTTCTTCTTATTCTTTTTGGCTGTCCTCATTTTGTTGCCGCCATTTTCTTCTTCTTGTTCTCTTGTTCTTCTTCTTCTTCTTCTTCTTCTTCCTCTTCTTTTATTTCCTTTGGTTCTTGCACACACGCGAGCATGTGCACGAAATATCGACCAATCGTCTCTCTTTCTCTTTCTCTTTCTCTCTTTCTTTTTTCGTGTAGATTTAGTCTCCAACTCGCATGATATTCCTCTCTTTTAATACGACGGATATTTCCTATAGGCTATGATGACAAAAGATAGTATTATAGATTATTCGAAATTTCATTGACATTTGTCTTACTTCTTGTTATTAATTTTCAATGATTAATTAACAACTTTTAGATCATATATTTCAGTTTATAATTTTATTTTGTTATTATTATCGATATCGAATTCGTTTCGGATTATTAAAGTATAATCGTTGTGTTGTCGTTCGTCATCGTTGCTATCATTAAACTCGTCTATTTTAATTTTTTCTTTCTTTGTTTTGTTGCTTTTTATGTACCTACAAACGATACGTCCAACGATACGTTCAACGATACGTCATTTCTTAGGAGACCTTCGAGTTATCGAGAATACTATTTGATATTCTTAAGTTTGTAAACATTATATGACTGACGTGTATTATTTCGTATGTTTCGTATCCATATGCTTAGTTGTACCTTAAGAATGAATCAACGAATGAACGAAACGCGTCATTTTTCTCGAGATAAATTCCTTGTTCTCTCTTTAATCTAACACAGGCCGTTATTTTCATATAATCATTCCAATTTAATCTATCCCCGTACACGTATACGCATCCGTAAGAAACTAGGCCAAGTCGTTAGAAATTTATTTTCCAGTTTAAACTCATAGATGTATATATATATATATATATATATGTCATGAAAAAAAAATCTTATGAGATAGATAAAACGGAATATAAAAATGATTAAGGAGAATAAATTTAGCAAAAAAATTATTTCATCTTATTTTCCTCGTGTCGGATAATACGAAGATGAGAAGAAAAAAAAGTTAGATGAATTTTCTTACAGAGAGAAGGAAGCCTTTCTCTTTCTTTAAAATATCACAAAGAAAATAAGATAGGAGTAAGGATAAAGATAGGGTGTGTGTGTGTGTTTGCGTGGGAGGGAGGGTGGGTTGTTGGTTGTTGTAGGGTAGAATAAAAAAAGCAATGCCGTGAAAGGAAATAAGAATCGAGCGAGTGTAACGGTGATGTGTAGTGGTAGTGTCGTAGAGAGTGAGAGCGAGAGAACGAAAAAGAAAAAAAAAAGAAAGAAGAAGAAGAAGAAAAAGAGGAAGAAGAAAAGAAAAAAGAAGAAAAATAAGCAAAAGAAGTAGAAATAGGGAGGGGGTTGATATCGGAGGGGAGGAGGCCAGGGACGGTTTTCCATCAGCGTGGAAAGGAGCTATGATGGCCACCACCCTCGCTTGCTTGCTTGCTTGCTCGCTCACTCGCTCGCTCGCTTTTGAAGGTCAAGGTTTCACGCCCCTCTTCCATCAGAGTTACGTGCTAGCGAGTAGGGGGTTGTAGTAGAAGGGGCTCGAGGGCGTATCGAGCAGAGTAGTAGTGCTGGTAACAGCATCAGCAGTAGTGGTAGTACCACCAGAGCCAGCAGCAGCAGTAGCACCAGAAGAAGAAGCACCACCAGCAGTACCAGTAGCACCAGCAGCACCAGCAGAAAGGTCTTCGTATTAGTGGTGTTGGTTGGTGGTGGTTCGTGTTTCGACCGATAGAAAGATAGATAGAGAGAAAGAGATAGAGAGAGAGAGAGAGAACGTTCAGAGGGGTAGAAAGTTACGTAGGTGGCGCCGGAGGGGTGCCGAGAGCCCGGTGCCCAGTATTTATAGCGCTTGCAAACCGATCGATAACGAATAGCGACACTGCGCAGTTGAGAACCCTCGTACCAAAGTCACCCTCCCTTTCTATTCTATTCCTCAAGCAGCTTTAACTCCTCACCCCTTTAGATCTTCTTCCTCTTTTTCTTTCTACTCCTTTTTTCAATTTATTTCATTCTTATACTTTAGTCCTTTTATTTCAAATGTTTCTATTCGTTCGATTATTTGGGGGGTGTTGTTGCTTATTTTTTAATTTAATTTTTTAATTCTATTTTGTAAATATCTCAAATAATTATTCAGATAAACTAAGAAGAAGGTTTATTTTGGCCGTAAATATTTGTCGTTCCGCTCGAGCAAGCGAGACAACCGAGATGTATCATTGGGATCGTCGAGGGTCCGAAGGTCGGCATATCGATTTGCTTGAAATTTGAAGTACGAGGGTTTAACCCTTGCGGCGGGCCTGTGATCGAGTGTATACACGATGAATGGGATACGGTGGAAAGGTAAGGGCGACTACTACACTCTCCCTTTACCTTCCTGAAGGTTTACTCAATTTACAATTTTCATGATCGATTGATTTTTCTCTTTCTCTCTCTCTCTCTATCTCTCATCATCATCATTATCGTCATCACTGTCGTCGATGATTAAGATATCGATTTATGTCCTAATTAGATATAATTTGATTTATTCATTCATTTATTTGTTGTCATCGTTGTCACATTTGTCTAACATTTAAAATCAAGAAAGTTGAGAAGAAAGATAGGGGAAAGTGAGAGGGAGGAGGGATGAAGGGTAGAAGGGTAGAAGGTGGGGGGCACGCCCGCATTATCAGAAACACCGACCAGGAAGATTGTTCTCTCGCAAATGGGCATTGCGCGAGTGCGAATGACAATGGTGTAGAAAAATCGATAGCCGAGTGCGTCCGTCCTAGGGTGGACGACGCATTATCGGTAACACGGGTTTCGTAATTTCATCCTTAGTTTATTCTTTTATTATTAATAATAATATTGTTTTTTTTTTCCCGATAACGAAGAATACTACAAAGAACATAACTTTTATCAAAGATATCCGATTGAAAAAGAAATGAAATAGACAACCTATTACAACTATGCGTACCATAATACAATAGGAGATCAAAAGAAAATAGTAGTGGACAAGAAAGTAATGGTAGTGCAGTATAGTCCTGCTGTAAAAAGAGGGTTGTAAGATAAACGAAAATCGGCGTTCAGGCCGAAGATGTAAAGGGCACGTAAAGAAAGATAGAGAAGAGAAGGAGGCAGGGTGGGAGAGAAGGGTACAAGGTAAAGGACAGGCATATCGGTTAGGTAGATAGATGTATATGGTAGATGAGGTGGAAGGGGAAAGGACCGCCCCAGAGGGCGGGGGTAAGTGCATTGCCATCCCTTTCGCGTTACCGGGCCGTACTACTAGTGGGCATCCCCCTCCTTGCTTGATCAGTGCGCATGAGAAAGAGAGTGCACAAAAGAGGGCACAAAAACAAAGTCACTGGAGGAGAATAACAGAAAAAGAGAGAGAGAGAGGGAGAGGGAGAGAGCGACAGAAATAGAGAAAGAGAGAAAGAGAAAGGATTCAAGGAAAGTGAGGCGTTTGGGGCTGCTATTGGAGGGGAGGAAAACAAGGTATATGGAAAGAGTGAGGGGTGGAAATAGAGAAGGGTAGATCCCGTGCGTTTCGTCGGAGAAGTCGAATCACCGGACGACCGTAAAGGTCGTAGGTGTTCTCTTCTCTCCTCTCTCTTTCATTTGATATATATATATATATATATAATTTTTATTTTTTTATTTTTTCCGTATTACCATCTCGCTTGTGAACGTCGGCACGTACTCCAATCAGAGTAGAAGACAAGCAACCAGCTGGCTATTGGTGTCATTAGTAGTGAACGATGACAGAGAAGACAGTTCTAAGCATTTATTATTCTTCTAATTCTTTTTTTTCTTTTCTTATTTTACAACACGTTGATTCATTTTTATTAACGATGATGATTATTATTATTATTATTATATTTAACGTGAATTGGGAGAAAAATTCGTCAGTGGAAAAGTTTATTCTCGTTTATCGTTGTCCCCAGTATGGAACGATGTTACGTGACGGAAAGTTGGTTATTTTTTTGGAAAATATTTTTTTTGTCGAGGGGGTGGAGAGAGGAAGAAAAATGGAGGATAACGAGGAAAGAGTGATGCGGGGAAAATCGACTGACCGATGGAAAAATTTCGACGGGGTGGAAAAAAAGGTGTGCTATGTCAATGTCGAAACTTCTTTTTTATATTTTCTTTTATCGTTAATTTTCATGGAATAATAATATTGTAAATATTACTTCGGTGAACTTGAAATGAATTTGGAATGACGACGACGGTCTCTCGATCGATCGATTAGACACGCCATATACACACTTATAGTGTATATATATATATATGTACACTTGGACAGACCACTACAAAGATGTTCGCGTGAGTAAATTTATATGGGAAGAATATTTTTTACACGCGATTGAAATTTTTCGAAAAAGGAAAGAAACAAATGAATGCTATTATAATACAATGTTTTCTTTTAAATCTCATAGTGTAATAAGTAGTTTCTATATTTGATAGTATTATCTAAACGAAAAAAAATAAATGTTCGAACGATTTCCTATTATGGCACGTAACGTTAGTTGCACTAGATATCAAAGGTCAACTCGTCTCGCGAATTCTTTTTATGAGAATACAATCTATTATTAGTATCATGATATACATATATATATATTTAAACTGTGAGTGTAACGGTAATATTACACGAAATCATTATTTTCGAATTACGTGTCGTATGAGATACATTTTTAATGAATTATTTTTTCAAAAGCACGTTAACTATCGGAAGTTCATACTTTATAAATATAACGCAGTCTATTAAAAATAGAAATTACCTGATCGGTAGTTGAACGCATCGAGCTTTTTCTGTGGGTGTATCTTTTTTCCTTCTTTATTTTATTTTTACAAATAAAAAAGAAAATCAGCTTTCTCGTATTTCTGACTGTAGTTCTATCATCAAACGAAGAAGAGGGATTTTTTCACTTGATTGCTTTATCGATTTTTTTTTCCCCACTCCGAGTACGGATTAATTATTTTTTAATATCGTATTTATTAATATTATTTTATTTAACACAATATTACGCGTTAGAATGTTATTTGTCGAATACTTTATCTTCGTCCGTCGTTTAGAGATATTTTTTGTATTATTTTTGTTTTCATTCCTAATAAAACGATACACGAAAGGTTTTCATTTCAGACCAATACATCATTCGTCGTGGCAGGATGATGAAACGGTGTTGTATCTTCAAATTCCTATCGTATAATTATATAGCTTCATAAAAAAAAAAAACTAATGGCACATTTTTGACGATATATTTTATCGGTTTTGAGAGAGAGAACATTATTTCGGTCGTTATAAAACGTGTCCTTAGAAAAAGATCGAAGATTTTGTTATCTGTAATTTTCTTCTTTTCTAACATTGACGATTAAGAATATTGCAATGTGTACCATCAATAACAATCGTAATGATTATCACATAAAAACGACAATGTACAAGAGAGAGAGAGAGAGAGAGAGAGAGAGAGAGAGAAATTATAGAAAAGAAGAGAAAATTGCAGTTGGAAAAAGGGAAAGTACTATGAAACTAATGAATTACGATGGTATTATCGCGTAATCCATCGATTTACGAGTGAGTGTGAATTTATGGACAAAATATTTGCCACGTAATGTGCGTTTTTCTCTTTCTTTTTTTCACTATTAATATGAAAATGGAAGAATAAGAAAAGAAACGAAACGAAACGGAAGGAAAAATGTATAAAGAAAGAAGGATGACTCTGCTCTTATTTTTTTTTTTTTTTTTTTCAATAAATTTACCACCCTAACCAATAAACTTTCAAGGATAAAAAAGATCAATCTACTTTCATCGTCATCATCATCATTATTATTATTATGTTATGTAAAGAAATTTATTGAAAAAAAAGTATAAACATCGTTAAACACCGATCAAATCGATTCGGAAGAAGAAGTTTCGACCCTTTTTACTCCCACACGATAAGTTTATTCTTAGACATTCAGTATGTATATTATATTTGATCCTAACTATTCTCTTCTTCTTTTTTTTCGTCTTCTTTCTCATCGTCATCTTTCTTGTATTGTATTTTGATACCAAGAATAAGACGTGTTTACTTGCCGTGTTTACTGAGTTTCCTTGTAATTTTCTCTCTCTCTCTCTCTCTCTCTCTCTCTCTGTCGCTCATCATTTATATTATACTACGTCCCTCGAAGTTGAGTCATTCTAAAGATACGTGTCGCCTCTCAGGTTCTTCTCAAGTGTTATTATCACAAGTCGTACTTTATATTATTATTATTATTATTATTAATATTCTTTTCGGATTCTTATAAAATGAATTATTTTCTTCCATTACACCTTACACATAAGGTTTGAACTTTTCTTGTTCTCCAATTAATTATTATTAAATTACAATTTACTAATTTTCTGTACGTTTTTTGTTTGTTTACAGTGACGCGATTACATTGCGAGTCGGAATCATTCAAGATGGACCTGATTTTGGACATCAACAGCTGGCTCTACCCTATGGATTTAGGTAAGTTTCATTTATAATATAAATATATATTTATGGATAAAAATTTGTTTTAAAAGAAAATTAAGGGATTTAGGATAAAACGATTTTTCTTATGCATTGCCATAGAATATTTCTAATGCAACAAATTCATTAATAAAAGTGGATTATACTACGTAATGTTCATTCATACCCCTACTTTCTTTCACTCGCCATTCATGTAACAAAGTAAATAGGATAGAAAATAAATTGAACGAAAATAATTGATCTCGTTTATAAGTAAAAGGTATATGAGAGTATATATATATATAGCACGATTTGTTTACGTCGCAGAAGGAAATTCGATAAACTGGTGGTAGACAGAGATAGAAAGAGAGTGAGGGGATGAAAGAAAAAGCAGGTGCATATACATGGTGTCCTGTAACTGATAATACAAACGAGCAAAGGGGTGATTCTACATTTTCCATTTAGCTTAATTCACCAATTACAGGACACCTTGTATATACATTAAGAGTCGTTAGCATGTTGAGTTTTTCCAGTCACACAGAGAAATATAATCGTTTATACATATATGTATAACTCAGTCAGTCTGGACGTGCATTTGAATGCAGGTCACGTTCAAGGGAAGACTTTGAAAGGTCTTCTTCGTTATATTATCCGCGAGCTTGGTTCCTTCGTTAATTTCTTCATAAGTCGGCCTTGGATAACATCATGTTACAAAGAAGGACGTTTAACGTTTCAATTATTTCGAAAGTGTCTGTTTCAAAAAGGTCGATCATTCTTTTTTGGATTCGAGTAAACTACGATATTTCTACCACCCAAATTGTTTTCGTCGATTTATTTATATCGATCATTCTAAATGAACGAGTCTTTTCAAATAGAAATAGTTGAAACGGTGAGAGAGAAAAATGAAAGAGAAAGAAAATGTAACAAATCGACGTAGGGTAGTTTCGTTTGCATTTCACACGACCGAATGCACCCCTTGTAATTTCCGCTTGGGGAGACGCTTTTTTTTTTTTTTTGTTATCTTCTTACTCTTTTTTCACTTTCTATTTTTCTTTCTTTTCTGTTAACTTCCTAAGAGAGAGATCGAGAGAAAGAGAAGGGAATTTTATGGAATTTATTTTCCTTCATATTTTTGTTTTTACATTATAGTAAATGAAATATGTGGAGAATGGCTAGTAAAAAGAATAAGAGGATAAATAAATATTACATAGTAGTCCATTTTTAAAGGAGAAACATATGTCAAATATTTTGAAAATATTCCAAAAATCAGAGAGGAAGAAAGAGAGAGAAAGGATAGAAGTACATATCTGATCGATTTTGTCTACCTAAAAAAAATACAATTTGATAGAATTTGCTTGAGATATATATAACAAATGTTTATAAATAACAAAGTTATGTTCCATTAACAATTAAGAATAGAACAAGATTTACGAGAAGGAGTAAGAATTGCGAGGGTTTATTTCCTGTGTTACATTTCGGTTTAGGTGGCACGTGCGATTCCGTTACGAATTTCTATTTTGCGGAAGAAAGAAAGAAGAGAGCGTCATGTCCGTTTCAACGATGAATGCCAAAACGAACATATGCCAATAACTGCATTTTGAACTATGTTGCATTTTGTTTGCTTTCATCTTGGTATTTGACTGAAGGAACCATTGCATCCTTTTGATCATTAACTATTCTCTTTCCTTCGTATATAATATTTTCAAATGATTACAAAAAAAGAAATTGAAACATTTTTGAGAAATTTGATAATCGCATAAAGAAATGGAAAGTAAATGATGAAGAGAGAGAGAGAGAGAGAGAGAGAGAGAGAGAGAGGGAGAAGAAGAGGAGTAAAATTCGCATAACCCACTTGGACTGCAAGTGCGCCCAAGNGGTATAAACGTTTTGCTATATTACATGTTTACTCTCTTCTCCTCTTTCTCCCTTTTTTCTTTCTATCTGTTTGTCTCTTTTTCTCTGTGTATCGGCACTCGCCGGCTCGGTACTCGCGCGCGCCTAGCAACACCGAACACCAAACTGTCGGCTCGACGAAGCCAGCCGGCAGTCGAGCATCGTACCCCCCTTTTTCCATCATGGCGTCGTTCTCTCCCTCCCTTCACCTACTCCTTCCTTCCTTCCTTCCTCTCTCTCTCACACACTCTCTTATAATCCTTTATCTTTCAGCTCATAATGAATGACTTTGTTTGAAACTAACACCTCTCTTTCATTTTATTATTTGATATGATTGTACAGCACCCATAAAGGGTTTGCATTTTTTTGGAGAACTTTCTGCTAGTTATTTTATGATCGGATAAGGGTAAAAATAAATGTTACGTTGGCCAAAGACCAAGTTCGAATATAATTGGAACTTGGAAGGATCGACGATATTTCGTTGTTAGAATTTCTAATACGCGCGGATTAAAGTTGCCGTTAGTTTGCAACACAGCATAGAACAACTTGGAGAGCTTTCACTTCGCGCACAGATGTTCCAACCCAAAGGAGATATGATTTCTCTCGATTAACAAATCTCACATCGAATGTTTTAATGCTGTATCATGATCGGTTTGCTATTTTGTAATTTAAATGGCACGATTTTGCTCCCCAACCAGCCAACAACGAAAGATATATATATACGTAAAACTTGTAATAATAATTTGAAAGAAAAAGAAAGAAAAATAATACGGTAATAGAGATTGGATAAACATCGTTGAAAACGTATTACGTAAAGGAATGCGTCTCAATAATAGCATTTTTTTCGCGACAATAACAAATACTTACTTCTTTCTCGTCATTCGCGTTATGTTAGATAAAAAATACAAAATAAAATATTCTATACTCGACATTTTGAAAATTTTTGTATCATAGGAATGACGAAAGGATTTTCAACAACATTTTAAAAGATGTTTCCCTTTCTTCGTAGAATATTTTTCCTTTAGCATGAAAATAAATTGCTAAGCATGTCACGTACACCCGTTTTAGACCGTACGTGTCATTTATATTCACCAAGTAAATATTTGTATCGAATTTTTTGTCTTTTTTTTTTTTTTTTTCAAACGCGGCATACGAAAAAATCGACATTTTTTTTTTCTTTTCACAAAGATACTTTATCGAAAAAGAAAAAATA